CCTGAATTTAGTTTCCCCGAAAATTTTAAACCTCTGAATTATTTTGCTAATAATTATTTTAGGAACGTGAAACTTCGAGAAATACAAATACTATGTAGTTGTAGTTTCTCTTGAAGTCGTCATAGCGGATAAAAAGTCACAGTTCGTAGAGAGAAAAATTGCGAACCCTCCGTTTCTTTTGTTTCCTTTTTCTCTGTTTTGTAATTTTTTTTCCTTCTCTCCTTTTTTTTTCTTTTCTTTTTTTCCCCTTTCTTTCCTCTCCTTCCTCTTTATCATTATTCTCTTTCTCTCTTCTCTTCTCTTTACTTTTCCCCCTTTCTTTCCATTCTTTTTCTTTCTTTCCTTTCGTTGTACCTTGACTAAATTCAGTTTCCCCCTTCCGCGCAAAGCGCGGTAGCTTTGACGTTTCCTTAAATTATAGAGAAAGGAGACGACTCCTTGAGCCGTTCTCGACTCTTAATCCTTGCCTGAATTTAGTTTCCTCGAAAATTTTAAACCTCTGATTTCTTTTGCTTATATTTTACGAAGGTGAAACTTTAAGAAATACAAGTACTATATAGTTGTAGTTTCTCTTGAAGTCGTCACAGCGGATAAAAAGGCACAGTTCGTAGAGAAAAAAAAAATTGCCGGCCGACCGACATTATACATCTCACCGACTTCAAACTTCTGCATTGATGTAGTACACGAGGATCGAGCAAGAATAACATTAAAAAAGACAGAAAGAGAAAGTGATAGAAAGATAAAAACAAAGAATAACATAAGAGAAGATGATAGAATGATAAAAACAAAGAATATCATAAGAGAAGATGATGGAAGGAAGAAACAAAGGATTACATAAGGAAAGACAAAAAGAGAAAGTGATATAATGATAGCAAAAACAAAGAATAACATGAGAGAAGATGATAGAATGATAAAAACAAAGAATAACATAAGAGAAGATGATGGAAGGAAGAAACAAAGGATAACATAAGGAAAGACAGAAAGAGAAAGTGATAGAATGATAACAAAAACAAAGAATAACATAAGAGAAGATGATAGAAGGAAGAAACAAAGAATAACATACGGAAAGACAGAAAGAGAAGGTTATAGAAGGAAGAAACAAAAAATAACATAAGGAAAGACAGAAAGAGAAAGTGATAGGATAATAAAAACAAAGAATAACATAAGAGAAAGTGAAAGAAGGAAAAAACAAAGAACAACATAAGGAAAGACAGAAAGAGAAGGTTATAGAAGGAAGAAACAAAGAATAACATAATGAAAGACAGAAAGAGAAAGTGATACAATGATAAAAACAAAGAATAACATTAGGAAAGACAGAAAGAGAAAGTGATAGAATGATAAAAACAAAGAATAACATAAGGAAAGACAGAAGGAAAAAGTGATAGAATGATAAAAACAAAGAAGAACATAAGAGAAGGTTATAGAAGGAAGAAACAACGAATAACATAATGAAAGACAGAAAGAGAAAGTGATAGAATGATAAAAACAAAGAATAACATAAGAGAAAGTGAAAGAAGGAAAAAACAAAGAATAACATTAGGAAAGACAGAAAGAAAAAGTGATAGAATGATAAAAACAAAGAATAACATAAGGAAAGACAGGAGGAGAAAGTGATAGAATGATAAAAACAAAGAAGAACATAAGAGAAGATAATAGAAGGAAGAAACAAAGAATAACATAAAGAAAGACAGAAAGAGAAAATGATTAAAAAAATAGAAGAAAATGGATATAGAAGAGAAGATGAATGATAGTAAAACAAAGAATAACATAAGGAATTATACACTGTCGCTCATATAGTTGGAATATTTGTGTTTTACCCCTGATTTATGGAATTATTTTAAAAAATAATTTAAAAATAATAGATCTAGATAATAGTATACATTCTCAGATTTTATTGAATAATAAATTGACAATGTGTGTCTTGCGTGACTGCTAAAGCATGTGTATGCTACTATGCTTATCAAATAGATGGCCATGCATTATGGCTCAAGGCATGGGAACACAGAGGATTTTTTTTATGTTGGGAACCGGGGTAGAATGCAATAAATTATTGAAAAATTATTGCATTTTCTGTGTTTTTTTTAGTTATGGAAACTGCCCCCTACCCTAGCCCCCCGCTGCGTAGAGTCGTGGTTCAGTGACAAAGCAATGGCCTCGTAACTGTGAGGCCCCAGGATCAAAACCGTGTCGATGTGCTATATTAGTGCCCTTTTGTGGGGCATTAATCCTCATTACTGTCATTTATGATTTAAGGGCGTATGTACCCTATTTGATAAGCATAGAAGCATACACATGCTTTAGCAGTCACGCAAAACACACATTGTCAAATTATTATTCAATAAAATCTGAGAATGTATACTTTTATCTAGATCTATTATTTTTAAATAATTTTTAAAATAATTCCATAAATTGGGGTAAAACAAAAATATTCCACCTATATGAGCGACAGTCTAGGAAGAAAAGTATAGAACGATAAAAAAAAAATAAGAAAAGGTGATAGAAGGAAAAAACAAAGAATAATATGAGCCGAAGATAGAAAGAAAATATGATAGAATGATAACAACAAACAATATTATTAGGAAAGACAGAAAGAGAAAATGATAAAGAATAGACAATGGAAAGATAGAAGAGAAGATGAAAGAGGGAAAAACAAAGAATAACATAAGGAAAATCGAGAGAGAAAAAAATAGAATAATAAACAAAGAATAACATAAGAAGTGAAAGAAGGAGAAATTGAATAAGCGCGTGCGGGGACCATTACATCATCGTGTAGAGAACGGGCGTCGACTAAAAATAAGGTAGTGAACAGGACGGGTGTCTGACGCCAATTCGCATCGTCAGAGGACGGGACCGCCGTCCTCGTCCACATTAACGAAAAGCCCCTAAACTCACGCTTGTGCAACTTTAGATGTGTGAGAGAACTGAGGGGAGGGTGAGGGAGGGAGAGAAAGATAGGGGATGGGAGGTGAGATAGAGAGAGAAAGAGTGTGAGAGAGAGAGAGAGAGAGAGATAGAGAAGAGCACATGAGACAGACAAGGTGAGAGTGAAAGAATACATGAGCATCAAGAAGAGAAAGATGGCTACACCTGTAATGTGTTCTCATCCCATATTGATTGATACCCATGATTATCCTGTCCACCTCTCCCTGCCTTACTCTTCTATATCTTTATTACTTTTCCTCCATCAATCCGTCCTTCCCATTTTCTCTCTCCCTCCATCTTCCCCTCCTCCTCCATCTTTCCGTCTGTCTCACTCTCTCTCCCCTCAATCTCTCTGTCTCTCTCTCTCTACCCCTGCCAACCCACTTTCTTTTATTCTCAGTCCCACTAACTTTACTCAAAGAAAAACAAAATACTTAATAACCGATCCTTTATTTTTTAAACAAAAAGCACTAAAAATTGCCGACTTATATTCAAATAGCTATCATTATGTTTAAGTATATTAATAATCTGCTCCCTTCGTCTTTTGATGACATGTTTAAGTTCAATAGCTCTGTCCATACCTACCCAACTCGCATATCCGGAAACTTTCATCTCACAAACCAAAGACTGTTAATTGCCTCTAAATCAATTCGTCATCATGGTCCAGACAACTGGAATAATCTTTCAGACAATTTTAAATCTTGTTCGACCATATACTCCTTGAAAGCCACTCTAAAAAAAACTATCATTCAATCGTATGAATCCCATACTCCAAATTAATATATTCACATAAATATTCACATTCGTCATTTCAATATCCTCATTTTACTCAACTGCTACATACAGCACCAGCACCTGCAATGCACCCACTTGACCAGTAAATATCAATTTCAGTCACGAATCTTTTTATGAGGCCGCCATCAATTTCAAGCCTTATCGCTCACGATGGCGGTCTCCTGCGTTCGTATTACGTCTATGGTTCATTGATTGGATTATATATTATATTATATGTGTTATATTATATTATATTATATGTGAGAGTATGTATAGGTGTATATGTGTATGTGTATGTATGTATGCATGTGCTGTGTATATGTATATATATATATGTATATGTAGGTATATGTGCGTATATATGGATATATAGTTTAAGCTCACTTCCTTATTTTGTATTCATTATGTATCATGACTATATTGTTTATCTTATGAATTGTTTTGTATATTATCTTTGTAAACACATTTTACATTATGTATTGTATTATTTTGAACGCAGAAATAAAAGCAAACAAACAAACAAACAAACAAAATGAAATATTGATTGAAACTCAAGTGGCATTGCAATCTCACTTTAATAAGGAATGCAAATCTTGAGAATTAAAGAAGTTTTACAGTACTACAGACATCAGAAAAGGGCTATGAACACAATCTCTATTAAAACATCTGGTACATGAAGACAGCATATTAAAAAAAAAACGAGACTGTGTGAAATAGTTTTCTACAAAATTTAATTTCAGATGATGATGATGATCCACAGCACTTGTATGGCACCAATTATCTGTTTCAAACATTCAAAGGCGCCCGCTACTCCAATAGTCATGTACTACAACATTTGCTTGAAAACAACACATTTTGAAAAAGAGTTAAGAGTCACATTTTTCTTGCAACACATTTGACAAAATCATCTATATCTGATATTTCCCATTTTACTCATATTTTCTGAAGCCTGAAATTGTCATATATCCACAGGAACATGCTTCAGTGCTTCATTTTGAATGTAAAAGGTACCATCTCAAGCACATCTCCTTCATAAATATCTATTCAATATTCAAATAGTTATCAAATATATCATGCACTGAGAGGCTTCGGTAGAAATTATGAATTCTCTGAAGTCACTGACATAGTACTGTAGTAAATATGCTTGTCAACGAAGAGAATCCATAATTTTAACGGAGCCTAGAAAAAAAGTGCATGATATATTTTAATTACCTTCATTTAAAAATTAATAAATAAAGGTATAAACCGTTTATGAAGCTGAAAATAATCAGTAAATAACCAATTATTTCAGGACTCATAATGACAAAAAATATAAGAAAATGTGTCACTTTGGGGCCAAGTTCGCCAATGCTCGGTCACATAAGCACATTGTTGGCTGACGTGCACTGATGTTTGCATGGGCTATGTGATGTCAAACGGTGTATCCAGGATATACCCTGGTTGACGTCACACATCAATGTGTTTTCAATAGTGGAAATGTTTTTACATCACATGGAGCCATCCCAAACCATTCCTTGCACTGGAATTCTCTTAGGATATGTTAACAAATATGTACATGTAATATTACTTGAGACAAATATATTTTTTGTAAAATAATTGTCAACAAGCAGTGGCAAGACAATTCATAATCAAACAGCAGCAATGATAATCTAAAATGCATCTTTATTTTACATGTTAAAAATATAGTTTTACTATACAAAGATTAAAATAATTCCTCCCTACCTGTATCAATTTAACACTTGGGTGGAAAATGGTTAACGTTGATTAATGTCTCAAAGGACACACACATGCCAGCAAGGGCTTGAACTCATGACCTTCCCATGTCCAGTCAAGAGTGTTAAAACATTAAACCACTCGCATATGACACCTCTACGTGAATGCATAATCACATATGGTCTCCTGGAGTCTTGACATGATTTATTTTCTCCGATTTAAATGGTGGCACATGCTGGGTAAATGACAGTTTGTGCTGTGTCTTGGAACAATTGATTCAGAGCCTGGCAGTGACGTACACTGATATCTTTACAATAAGATGAATATTTACATTTCTAGTACTGTAGATCTTTGATCCGCATAAAACATAAGTCTGGCAGTGACGTACACTGACATCTTTACAATAAGATGAATATTTATATTTCTAGTACTGTAGATCTTTGATCATAAAACATAAGTCTGACGTACACTGACACCTTAACAATAAGATGAATATTTATATTTATATTTAAACTGTAAATCTTTGATCATAATACATAATTTATCACATGAAATTGCATTTTAAAGTTCTCTGATATAATATTATATTGATACTACGCAGAAATAATGAGTTGTCTTAAATATATTTCATAATCTACATTCAATTAAAAGAAGTTATACTTCCATGAGTAGAACATATACTCATATAATTCACTAAAGAAGCAGCAATAAGAATTTGCTTGAACATTAATACATGAATCTCCTTTGTAAAAATGGTACAAACAACCAGTAAGTAAGTATGCAGGGCTGTTTGATTGCAAGACACATATTTCAGCTGCAAACCTATTCCTTCCTAACTGCACCCTGGCAGTAACACTTTATGATAAATTTGTCAACTAATGATAATAATGAGATTGCATTCTATCATTTTCAAAAGATACACACATGCAACACTTGGTCAGTGAATGTAGAAAGACATTTCGTGATTCACAAAATAATTTTGGCTAAATTCATCATACATAATTTATCAGTAATTAATTATCACTGATTTTCTTTCCCCAATATCCTCCCCTGTCAATCTATCCATCTCTAGGTTTGAGGAGAGGATTATTTGCACATTAGGTGTGATTTTTTTTTTTTTTAAACCTGTGGCCTAGAATAATTTTGTTTTTTGTTTAAGAGAGGGCTTCATATCAGATTTGAAGTCTTACAGAAATTTAAAATTGCAATGTAAAGAAGGCAAGTAAAAAACTTTTTCGCCTTTATGTACCAGTATTTTACGTATGTATAAAGAGAGGTAATTAGCATGCTTGATACAAAATTAAACCATGCAACCACATTTTGACTATTTACTTTGATCTAATTTCCTAGGTCAGAACTTGCAATATTGTCCTTCAGGAGGTCATCTGCCAGACGAATGTGTTTAATCGCAATCAGGGCTTTCTTCAATTTTGCATGTTCTTCAGACCTTATAGTCCTGTCCCTCCAATCCCGAAGCATACTCAGTGTTCCCATGCATGTAACATCGTGGTATTTTTCGTTTTTTTGTATGTATCGTTGTATTTCCGGAGGTTCAAAACCCAATTGCCCGCCTAGACTGTCGATGTCATCATTCTTATGAATCTGCTTTGCTATTGTCTTGAGAAGGTCGTCAAAAGCATGCTCCCTGGTTTCAGTATGTCTATATTTATATGGAGGAAATGTGAAATTTTACTTTTTTATCTCATAAGCTCAGTTGACCGATGCAACAAACACCCTAATTTCAACCAGTCCTGTTTTTATTCTTGAGTTACGAGAAACAAAAAAACTTAATTTAAATCAATCAATTTAAGAAGGGGTAGGAATAATTCAGTTGTTGACTATTATATGTATATTTATTTATTTATTTATTTTCTTATAAATTAACATGCACACACACACACACACACACACACAAAGGTATATTGAGGTTCTACTCACATTTCAACAGTTGATGGTGATGGAGTGTCATGTTCTGTAATAATAATATCGAAATAATTGTTTGGGTGACTGTGGCCATAAGAAGTGACCGATAGCTAAAAAGATATATCCACCATGTTTCTTAGAATTCACGACAGGTGGAATTAAAATTTTAAATTATGATTTCTTACTGTCAAGTAAGCTGTATAATGTACAAAAAATGTATTTCAAACAGTCATGCAATAACACCCACAATATATATATATATAAATATATACATTTTATGATGTAATTGTGTTTCGTCTAAACTATAAGATGATGAAACCCACCATATCATTAGGCGACAAAATGAGAAACGAAAAATGTATTGAAATGGCAAGCTGCTAATAAAAATGAATATCTGTCACAAAAAGTAAGAGGGCTGCACCTATTTTATCCCCCAATTTTGTTTCTGTACTAGAAATTTGAGCTTTTTAACAGGAGCGGTATTCTAATTAGCTTTATGTTATCTCAGTGAGATAAAGTACATTTACAAATCTTTTTCTATCAGTTTTCTAAGAATCATCAAAGCAAGATTTTAACTCACTAAGAGAACGAGAGAGATAAATACCTCCTTACCAAGTTTAACTTTTATTTGGATTGTCACGTATTAAAATAAGATGGGCATTAGCGTTAAGTCCACACGTATCATTGTAATGGGCAATCAAGAAGTAATAGATTGAGATAAAAATAACAATAAAAATCTGGGATAGGAAAAAACTTTCAGATTACCCATATTTTATAAAAACATATAATTAAAAACGTTTTAGAGATTAAATCGTGCTCAGAATATCATGGCGCCCTCGTACATACCCTCACATCTGGTTACAGAAAACTTTTGTATATGCACAAAACTATATGTTTTGTATTGTCAAATGGATACAGCCTCCCAGTACATGTACTAACTGTTCCTGAGCTTCCTGCACCTAAGTTTCAAGCTTTAGTATATACTAACAAGGGTTATCTACATGATCGAATGCTTTCTCACATATGATGTAACAAATAATTGACATATGATCAAGAGCCAAATGGTCCAATACCCAAATCATCCATTTGCCTTTTATAGTCTATACACAAATTTTCTCCACTATACACCTGATCCAGTCAAAGTTTTGTACAATCATTATTTAGTCTATTAGTATAGGGCCAATCTCCCTGCTATAACCTATGGTTCTAATTGTCACTCCCTCAAATAAAAAATTTGAACGATGTGATCCAATAACCATTTGGTCAATCATTATTCGGTTCATTTCCCAATTTGTCAGTAACAATATATGGCAGTTCACAAACTATTACATGATTTTTTTTAAAACACATAACCCGAACATGGTTTTACTTGCGTAAAGGCAAAAAACATGATTCCATTTCCTGACTGGTTCCAGGAATACAGTATGGTTTGTACTGTGTTAGGAGCAGTGACTAACGCACAGTGAGGTATCATCAGCTCTGCTGGTTTCTTAAAGCGTAGCCCGGACGGGTAACACTGCAAGCCATGGCTGACTAGAAGCTCGTCCTCTTTAAGTGTGAGGCCATTTGGAATATCCTTCAGTACCCTAAGGCCGATTTTCTCATCTGCCTCAAGGGCACCAGGTGGAATGTGGAGAGTAAACCCATGGGATTTGGTAGACAGTTTTCCTCCAAGGGCTCCAAAATGTCTAGTTGCAGAGCTACCTTCTGGTATTAATAGAGGCGCAAATATGTACATGTATATTAACAGCATACTCATTACATATAAATATCGTATTAAGCTCTGACGTCACAAGCAAGAATTTCCAGCTAGAGATACAGTGCATGTACAAATTAGCATGTACAAAATGAGCATGTATAGTCACACTTTCAAGACTCGATCACCTCAAACTTTCTTGTTGAATGCTATTTTAGTTGTATTTGCGAAAATAACAACGTCGGTAAGATAAAGTGAAAGGAAAAGTTAATTAACAATTTCATGTGTAAAGATAATAGGTTGTAACTACTCAAATATTGTGATGTTTTATATATATTTTTTTGTAACCGTTGATCGCCGGGCCAGAGATTCTTGCCTGTGACCTTATCATAAATCGACAAATTCTTAATTTGGAGATGAATATTCACCTACTTCAGATACATAAACGTATCTCACCTGTGGCATGGTCTGTTGACTCTACACGGTCTGTTCCATCACTTTGTGTTTCTTTCGGAAGATTGTCATAATTGTCTTTCTTGGCCTTCGTAGTTACTCTGTTGTAAACAAACATCAAGAAACAAAAACCTATTATACAAACAAAGAAAACCTTATTTGATTTTTGACGGAGTCGATTTAGGATTTGAATTTTATCAACATTAATTTTGTCCGCCGACTATTGTCAGCGCTGACTAAATTTGACCAATCAGAGACCTGGAAAATAGGTCGGTGACAATAAAATTTTCAGTGAAAATCACATAAAACGCCACCCAGGTTATATGTCCCGCATCTACCGCCTGAACAATTACACAGGAACTACAGGGTTAATGTATTCATTACGAAAAGCTCTCGTTAAAACTATACCCCACACTTTAACACAGGAGTCAATATCTGGTGGGGTGCCAGAACCCCATTTTCGTTTCTCTTGTTAAAACTTTGAGAGAGCTTCTACTATAACACAGTCACCAATGTAATTCTGATGGGGACGTGCCACTACCCCATTTTCGTTTCGCTCATTAAAAACTTGGACAGAGCCTTGAGGCTCTGAGTGAGAGATTAAGATATTGGATTGCAGCTGGACTCTTCATCATCTTATGTAATACTACTGTAAACAAACTCTTACTGGGGCTCTGCCTGAAAGGAAATGAGAAGTAGGAAATAAGTATTTTACTTGTTTTAAGATATTTTCATGTCCAAAAGTCACTAATAATTTAGATGAAGACCAAAATGAAAGTTCGAACGAAGCAAAATGACCCATAATTGGCGACCTAACAACAATTTTAACTCTGGCAGCGAACTCGGTAAACTAGCGCGTATGTACTGCATGTGTCTCTTTCTCCCTTCTCCCTTCATGCTTATCTCTCTCTCTTACAGCGTGTCCACACACAAAACAATTTATCCCGAAACTCTATAACGGAACGTCGTATAAAGAATCATCGTATAAATTTCATAGTGTCCACACACAAGAAACGTCGTATAAATAATCATCGTATAAATTCCAGGATGTCCACACACAGAAGAAAGTAATCCTGAAACTCTACAGCGAAATGTCGTATAGGTGCGCAGTTTGCTACTACGGTCATGAAATGGAAGCGAAAATGAGAGGTATGGTCTCCTTTCGCTCGAGGTCACGTTAAGCCCCGTCCAGTTACACTAGTTACACTCCCCCTGTCCACACACAACATTTTCCGTGATTAGGCGTGATTAGGTGTGATTCTTTATAGAGTTTCAGTTCGAAACGATGCCCATTTAGTTTAAAACGCAATGCGTTCAAGCGATTTTTTCGTCGGTCGTAAAAATAAACACGTTTGAAAACACAAACATGAAACGCTGAAAAAGATGCGTTTTGTATCATGATTCTGCAGAATCACGGTCGCTAAAATTCGATTCAACGGACGGAGTTCTCAATCATGATTGTATGACGGAGCCTGTTCCGGTTTGGGCAAAAACCGCGCGCCTGCTTTTCATGCAATTTGCGTTTACTATACCATGCTCTTTACCAAGGCCTGTTCCGTTATGTTATACCTTGTTTTCCTTCTTTCTTTTTCTCTTTCTGTCTACTCTTATGTTATTCTTCGTTTTTTTTCCTTCTATCACCTTCTCTTATGTTATTCTTTGTTTCTTCTTTCTATTCTTATGTTAATCTTTGTTTTTTCCCTTCACTCACATTCTCTTATGTTATTCTTTGTTTTAATCATTCTATCACTTTCTCTTTCTGTCTTTCCTTATGTTATTCTTTGTTTCTTCCTTGTATCACATTTTCTTTTTGTCTTTCATTATGTTATTCTTTGTTTCTTCCTTTAAGTTATTCTTTGTTTTTTCCTTCTATCACCTTTTCTTATGTTATTCTTTGTTTTTATAATTCTATCACTTTCTCTTTTGTTATTCTTTGTTTCTTCCTTCCATTTTTATGTTAATCTTTGTTTTTTTTCCTTCTATCAGCTTTTTTAATGTAATTCTTTGTTTTAAGCATTCTATCACTTTCTTTTTCTGTCTTTCATTATGTTATTCTTTGTTCCTTCCTTCTATCACCTTCTCTTATGTTATTCTTTGTTTTTATAATTCTATCACTTTCTCTTATGTTATTCTTTGTTTCAATCATTCTATCACTTTCTCTTTCTGTCTTTCCTTATGTTATTTTTTGTTTCTTCCTTCCATCACCTTCTCATTCTTTGTTTTATTATTGCGATCTATGGCTATGCTCAAAACAGCAGTCGCCAGTCGGCCGTAAACAATTCCAAAAAGCGCGCGCCGAAGTTGACCTATACTTCCTGGGTCAAACTGCGAGTGTGATCCGCAGTGGCTGGGCTCGAAATGAGCTAGAATCAGCGTTGATAAAAAAAATCGAATCCCGGACAACTCGCCACAAAGACAACCCGCCCCAAGACAACCCGCCACAATACCCTGGACATCCCGCCACAATACCCTGGACAACCCGCCACAATACCCTGGACAACTCGCCACAGCCTTTTCGGACAACTCGCCACACTTTTTTCCCCTCATGATTTCTAGATCTAAAATCCCTCATCTTAGATGAAATTGTCATTTTTCATGATTTTCGTGCTTTTATGAACACAGTTATGACAGGAAACATGGAAATTGTGAGTATTTTGAGAGCTGTTCTAAAGAATAAAGATGATTTTCCTTGCGCTTGCAACAAGAATCTATTTTGGACGAACCCAAGCCAGGCGCACTACGACTACGAGAATCCGGGCTAACTCGGCCCACGGGACTACTCGGCCCAGCTGGAAAAACTGGGCCGAGATGTCCCGACCTGATTAATCGATCGAGAGATACCAATGTGTATATGTTTGTGCTCTTTGTGACTTAATAATGCCCTTTCCAACCTAAATCTTTAATGGAATTGTGTTAAATGATACTAATGAAGACAATCTATGACTTATCTTTCGGTAAAATGACAAAAAAAAATGACATTTCGGACAATTTACTCACAGCTCGCAATCCGCATTGCCGCACGTACATTAAATGTGCGTTGTTTCTACTCGGACCACTGAAATTCGAGCAGTGTTTTCGTCGGTAAATCACTGCAAAAATATCATTTTTATCTCGTATGAAGGTCTATTTTTTTATTCCTGACACAGATTTCATTATTGAGAAGTCGAATATAGTACATTTTAGACGAGATGGTTGATGTTTGTTCACATTCTTTCGTCCTGGCCGTAAATTAGCAGACTACTGCCTAGTGCTACCGCAGCAGCTCAGCTCAGTGTGCAGCTAGCCGTACAGCGCCGCCGGCCGGGTCGGCGGGGGAATTCACTGACTCGGCGCCCGTACCGGGCCGCTGCACTGCATTGCATGATTGTACTGCCCAATTTGATCGAGTGATGTGAGTATAACTAATCAAACTAGATCTATATCTACTGTATTATCATTATTCATTCCGAGTAGAATATCCAATTTGATTTAGTGAGTAAACTAGACCTAGATCTATATCTACTGTAGCTACATCATTATCATATACTAGATTAGTCATTCAGAGTAGAATATCTGATTAATGAAGGAATGGAATTTTTCTTTTTTCATAATCAGATAATCATATTTTACTCCTAAAAGTTAAAGACTTGATAAAATAGCTAGATCTAACGTAAGGGCCTAGCCTAGTACTCTAAGCAGAGAAGTGAGCTGAAGAATCGCCTTATTTTTTTTGGAGGGGGCTGCTTCCAA